ATATTGATAAATTTCAACGTGTGAATTTGGAGAATAGATATAACTCTAAGAATTAACAGAATTGAGATAATAACGATTTCGCAGATAAATATAATTTTAATATTGCAGCAACTTGAAATTATATGGTGGACACTGTTGCTTAAAATAATTGATCTCATTGAAACCATAATATTTGTATTGAGGAAAAAAGATCGTCAGGTCTCATTTTTGCACACGTACCATCATATTTCCACGGTTATCTATGCTTGGACGACGCTCAGATACTCTCCGCACAGTTTCCTCATGACTATCATCGCACTCAATTGTTCTATACACGTGATAATGTATTCCTATTATTGTCTGAGCACTTTTGGATCAAATATGCAACGAATACTTCTACCATTCAAGAAGTGGATTACTCTTATACAAATGGTAAGCTCTGAATTTAATTTGTCGATATACTTGTTGATATTAAATATTGCTTTTATTAAAACAGGCACAAATAGCATTCATAACGGTGGGCAGTTCGCAAGGTTTCATACTTAACTGCGGTAATATGAGTGTGAAATATTTTTCTGTCGCGACATTTCTTAATGGCATTGTAAACTTGTCATTGTTTTCCAATTTTTATAATTCTTATAAGAAATCGAAAACCTGATTGTAAAAGTACAATTTTGTTGAATGAAGAATGAGCATTATTATTAGATTAAATTAGCGTGATTCTGATATACATGCGTATTTGAAATTGTAATGTTATATTACAAAATGTCAAAGCTGTTTTTTCACTTCTTCGTAGCGTTGTCAATTAATTAAGCATTTATCGTGTGAATAAGATGGAATATTTTCGCGCGTCTTACAAATGCGTTCGTCGCTCTCTCGTCTGTATATGTGTATATACGAATAAAGAAAACTAGACCGACTGGCTGGCACAATTTATTTTCTCACGGACTTTGAATTGATATATTATTCAAAGTGTTTCTCACGGTTTCGGCTCAATCTTTCGCTTCTTTTTCCTTACGTCTTTTCATCGTCTGGTCTTTCCATCCGCCTCCTTTTCATTTCATTGAATCCGTGCAGCTATATCCTACAAATCCAGGCGTAATTCCAAATGTTTTCCATAGCCTATTAAACGATTAAAAACATTCCCAGATAGCCAAAATGCTGTGAGTTTTCTGCCATGTTGCCAACAATCGTTAATGCAACTAATTTTGACAAACTCGGGACAAGGTGAGACAGCATTATGCTTGTCGGGTTGAACTCATATGAATTATATTTCTATTAACAGCAAATTGATTGCAACGTGACAGCATCAATTTGTGAGGGATTTGTGATAGCACGACATGTTGCAGACAACGTACCAATATTGCGGACCGTTTGCTCTTGAAATTGCGTCAACTGATTGCATGTATAAGCAGTCATGTAGCTGCGTATTTGTAACATGTTCTATTTCGATGTCAGCAAAGGACCCCGCATACATCACAGGGAAAATTGGCCTCTCGTCGATTTTGCTGAAATTGTAGTATGATTCTCGACGACTCGACCTACGAAGCTACGTTCACGTACAAATACACATACATATGTGTACAAAGAATAGAATTTTCGAATAAGGCACTATTATCGACCTTTGACCTTCCATATCTCGGGAACTGTCCATTTTTTGACCTCAGGCCCATTATGACTTTTGATCAGGACGACATGAACTACATCATACTACAATTTCAGCAAATTCGACGGGAGGGCCAATTTTCCCTGTGATGTGTGCGGGGTCCTTTACGCGAGTGAAACCGAATATTCCCAAACGGGAAGAAAGGGAAGGAGATGGAAAAGTAAAGCGCGTTTGTTAACGCGAGCCAACTCTTTCTTCGCTTTCTTTCTCGACGCGTTGATAAAATACGGATTTCCTCCGTATTTCGTGGACAGAATAAGAACAAATAAGAACGAGGCGAACAGAATAGGATTGAACTATCTGAACCATCTCGAAGACGGACTCTCCACGGATGCGGGGAGGACCCGAACGAGGTCGTGCATCGAGATACATCTGCGCGGTTTCCGCAACGCGCAACGTACACGTAAAACGCCCCGTTTGGCGAAGAATGCATTCTTGTGGTAGTTGTGGTTCTCTCGCGCATAAGGCAAAACTTTTCCTCCGCCGCGGCCGCGCCGCGCCGGCTCGAGCCGCTAATAATAACAGATCGTCGAGAGAGCGCACAATGGCGATTCGTGAAAGGCCCCTCCGCGTTTGTCTTAAATGCCATGTATTAAGCGCAGGCCGATCACAAAGAAACTGTACACAGGAACGAGCGCTCGCGAGTCTCTCGACAGCTGGACGGGCGGATGACGAATGCGCCTCTCCGGGAATTGCCTCGTTAACGATTTCGCGTACGGCCGGCCGTTCTTCTTTTAGACATATAGGTCGTTGCAACGGCGAGGACAACGCGCAACCGTGTGCCAAGAATTTAGCGAACCGGTGGATCGCCAAGAGGGAAAGAAGGGAACGGGGGAGACGTCTACGCATAAACAACGGCGCGAAACGCGCAACAGCGTGCGCTTTGTATTCCTACAAAGTATTCTGCGGCGATCTAGGATATGTATACTGTCGCTTTGTATGCAAGCCCAGTGTCCCTTAGAACACGAAGTTATGGAGCGAAGCGGATTCGCGGATCGATTCCATTCGCTCATTACGTTTGACTAAATTTCAGACCAATTCGCCGCCGACTTTGCTTCGAAAGGAGCCCTTTGGAGTCGTCTTCGAAAGGAGTCGTGTCCGAGAGAGAGAGAAATAGAGAGAGAGAGAGTGAGAGAAAGAGAGAGAGAGAGAGAGAGAGAGAGAAAGATCAGGCGATTCCGCGCTACCGTGTACCAGTCCGCGTTGGTACCTTTGCGTTTAGCGCGAAATGGGATAGGGGCATGCTCTGTTCAGGACATAAATCATCTTACGTCGCTTTTTCAAGCGGTTACGAGTACCGAGGGACAAAAGAGTACCTCGCGGTTGACGCATTACCGTCGTGAGTACCTGTCAAGAGCAAAGGAACCGGGGGCGGCAACGGAAGACCAGGAGGGAGAGAGAGAGAGACGCGAGGGATAACGCCAGGCACAAGGGAGGAGAGCCTCATGAGAGAAAAGAGCCCATGAAGCAGATGGAACGTTCGCCGGGAATCTCTACTAGGAGGGACAGCTTTCCTGGTGTGGGCGGCTCACTTCCGGGTTTATTCTGCGATGGACTTTCGGTTCTGACGCTTGGTTACTAATTACATTTATACTAATTACAAGAGAAACGACAGAGAAGGGGAAATTACAACAATACACCTGCACTCGTCTCGTCGCGCGCGCGCGCGTGTGTGTGTGTGTGTGTGTGTGTGAAGCTGGCACGTACGTATCATTTTGTGGAAACTCAAAGAATGAGAATTCTGGCTTTCTTTTTAATAGTTTTATAATTCTTTATAGGTTGGACAAATATATATATAGTTCTGGTCATTAAAGCACAAAAATGCCTCAGGACAAACTGAGACGATCACCAAAAACTATTAAAAATTAAGCCAGGATTCTCAATTCCTTATTAGTTTCCATAAAATAATACATCAGCTTTAAACACTCCGTTTCGTCACCTCGCGACGGTTTTAAACAGGCTTGACGGTGATGTTTGCGTCGGTCGACTCTCATTATTTTCGCTAATTAAGCCCGCGCGGTAGCTTGATCCGCGAATATGAGGTTCTAGAATGACTCGAGATTCCAAGAGAAGTGCTTCCACGGGCATGAAGGCGGCAGGGGTCCTCAAGCGTATCACGATAGTATATTATGTCAGAATGAGTAATAAAAAAATACCAAGAAAATATTAAAGGATTTAATAAAACGAATGTATATTATGTGCTTGAGAGCAATAAACGAAATCCTTTTGCATTACATTGTATCTTTCCACCATCCATCCGGACATACCGTGGAGTGAATGAAAGCGCGAAGAGAATCAATGGAGATCAATAGATAAAGAGTCAGAAAAAAGTGCACGACGAGTGATAATGTGGGGAAGTCAGGGAACTAGCAATTAGTGCAGCAAGATCACTAAAATTGCATTATAAGGGCAGTTGGAACATAGTAAAAGTAAAACCGCGTGCAGTGCACGGTGAACGAGATTGCATACAACTCGACAAGCAAAGGATATCGTAATGAAAGGGGAAACTGGTAATGAACGCAAGTACCGATCATTATTATCGATTGTTCTAAGCGGACTGCGCAAATTACGGGAGCGATTCCCGGGCTAGTAACAGCCACAATAGTAAAAAAGTGAAAGTAATAAGCAATTGTAATAAATAAACTCAACGAGGAAGGCGCAATAAATCCAAAAGATTACGCATGTGTGGCTCGAAGTTCACTCATGCAAGATCAGAAGTTGGCGCCTCTCAAATGTTCCGAATGTCCTTCATTCTATCCTCTATCCTTATATGTTAAATATCCAGATCAAAGACCTCTTTGATCCAGATATCTTACGCTGAAATATA